GCAGTGGACCTTAAATAGACATTTTTCAAAGAAGACATCCAGATGACAACAGCCACATGAAAAGATGCTCACCATCACTCATCATCAGGGAAATGCGAATCAAAACCACAATGAGCTATCACTTCACACTTGTCAGAATGGCTAGAATCAAAAACACAAGAAATAACAAGTATTGGAGAAGATGTGGAGAAAAAAGGAATTCTCATGCACTATTGATGAGACGGTAAACTGGTACAGCTCCTGTGGAAGATATGGAGGTTCCTCAAAAAATTAAAAATAGAAATACTACATGACCAGTAATTCTACTTGTGGGTATTTACCCAAAGAAAACAATACCAATTTGAAAAGATAATGCACCCCTATGTTTATTGCAGCACTATTTACAACAGCTAAGATATGGAAGCAACTCAAGTATCCCATTAATAGATGAATGGATAAAGAGGATCACACACACTCATAGACACACACACACAGGAATATCACTCAGCTATAAAGAAGAATGAGCTGGGCACCTGGGTGGCTCAGTTGGTTAAGTGTCTGCCTTAGGCTCAGGTTGTGATCCCAGAGTCCTGGGATCAAGCCTCACAACAGGCTCCCTGCTTAGTGAAGAGTCACCTCCTCCCTCTCCTCCTGCCCCTATCCCCTGCTCATACTCTCTCTCAAATAAATAAAAACTTTAATAAAAGAGAGAGAGAACTGTTGCCATTGGTGACAACATGGATGGACCTAGAGGGTATTATACTAAGTGAAATAACTCAGAGAAAGACAAATAACATGATTTCACTTACGTATGGAATATAAAAACAAATAAAAAACAGAAAGATTCATAAATCCAGAGAAGGTGGTCCCTCGACAGCAGGGGGGTAGGAGGACAGGCAAAATCGGTGGAGGGGATCAAGAGGTACAAACTTTCAGGGATCCCTGGGTGGCGCAGTGGTTTGGTGCCTGCCTTTGGCCCAGGGCGCGATCCTGGAGACCCGGGATCGAATCCCACGTTGGGCTCCCAGTGCATGGAGCCTGCTTCTCCCTCTGCCTCTCTCTCTCTCTGTGTGTGACTATCATAAATAAATAAAAATTAAAAAAATTAAAAAAAAAACAAACTTTCAGTTATAAAATAAGTCACAGGGATGCAAAATACATCATAGGAAATATAGTCAATAATATTGTAATAACTTTGCATGGTGACAGATGAGAATTATCATTACTTGTACGGTGGTAAGCATTTCATAATGTATATAACTGTCGAATCACTATGTTGTACACCTGAAACTAGTAAGTCAAGGTGCCTGTGTGGCTTGGTCGGTTGGACATCTGCCTTCGGCTTGGATCATGATCCCACCGTCCTGGGATCAAGCCCTGCATCGGGCTCCCTGCTTAGTGGGAGTCTGTTTCTCCCTCTCCTTCCACCCCTCTGCTAGCTTGTGCTCTTTCTCTCTGTCAAATAAATAAATAAAACCTTAAAAAAAAATAAGTCAACTATACTTCAATAAAAAATTCTCCCTACTTAAAGGAAAATTAAGCAAGGTTGGCATATATTTGCAGATGTTAATATCTGAAAAAAGGAAAACAAGAAAAATATCTAAAAATTCAGAAACATCAATCGGAAAATTATAGAGTAGTTTAGAAAAACTATAGGATAAGTTATAAATTTTAAAAAGTCAACTACATCCCTATGTCAAAGACACCATAGAAAAATCCACAAAATCAGGTGCACCTGGGTGGCTCATTTGGTTAGGCATCCAGCTCTTAATTTCAGCTCAGGTCTTGATCTCAGGGTCATGGGTTCAAGCCCTGCATTGGGCTCCCTGTTGGCATAGAGCCTACTTAAAAAAAAAAAAAAAATTAAAAAGTTCCACAAAATCAGATCATTTATTTTCCGATAATAAAAAACATTTAATAAGAAGATATTGGGATGCCTCAGTGGTTCAGCATCTGCCTTCAGCTCAGGGTGTGATCCCGGACTTCTGGGATCAAGTCCCACATTGGGAGCCTGGCATGAAGCCTGCTTCTCCTCCCTCTGCCTATGTTTCTGCCTCTCTCTGTGTGTCTCTTGTGAATAGATTTTTAAAAATCTTTAAAAAAATTTTTTTAAAAGAGGGTATTAATTTCTCCACAAGTGTTTTTATTTTTATTTATTTATTTAAAAGATTTTATTTATTTATTTATTTATTTATTTATTTATTTATTTATTCATGAGAGACAGGCAGAGACACAGACAGAGGGAGAAGCAGGCTCCATGCAGGGAGCCCGATGTGGGACTTGATCCCGGGTTTCCAGGATCACACCCCAGGCTGCAGTCAGCGCTAAACTGCTGCGCTACAGGGGCTGCCCTCCACAAGTGTTTTTAAATAAAATTATACAACCACAATTTTTTAAATGAGAGGAAAAAATCCCTGAAGAACACTTTATAGAGCTTGACAACATGCTGGTGAAATTCATCTGGATAAATAAATGGCATGATACCCTTTTAATAAAGGCTCTTGAGAACAGACATATAGTAACTTTTCAATACCTACTAAAGACAAATTTCAGAAGAGCTCAATTTTAAGAACTCTACATATAAATAAACCCAAACTACATAACGAGAAAGGATCACTATTTTTCAGTAAATACTGCTGGGCTATTTAGTTATCACCACAGAGACAAATTACAACACTGTAGCAAATTCTAAATAAGTTAATTTAAAGCATATTTTAAAAATTATTTTAAACTAGAAAATAACAATAAACAGCACATTTTTTCCATTCAGGAAAACAAAAAAAACCTCTCTGAATCCTGAAAAACTAAGGTACCACCAGAAACAAAATAGGAACATTCCAAGGTCTTTTTTTCAAATAGTACTGCCTCCATAAATTCTTCCCCAATTCTCTGCTCCCTCAACAAAACAGTGATGGGAAAATAATCACTCTTTCCTGTGACCATCAGCATGTCAGCGCCCGTTAACTTGAGTTGTTTTTATGGCTCTCATCTTCTCCACTGTGTCACATCACTTAAGTGCCTGCTCTCTAGCCCCCATCAGAGCACAGTACGTGCCTTTAGGATTTTTATCTGATTAGTCCTTATATAAAACAAGCAGTCCACAAATATTTCTTGAACTAATGCATATTGGAGTAGAAAATAAATCTTCCTGAAAATATTTTTAAAAACCCAAATATAGGGGATCCCTGGGTGGCGCAGCGGTTTGGCGCCTGCCTTTGGCCCAGGGCGCGGTCCTGGAGACCCGGGATCGAGTCCCACGTCGGGCTCCCGGTGCATGGAGCCTGCTTCTCCCTCTGCCTGTGTCTCTGCCTCTCTCTCTCTCTGTGACTGTCATGAATAAATAAATAAATAAAATTAAAAAAAAAAAAAAAAAAAACAAATATAGGGATCCCTGGGTGGCAGAGTGGTTTGGCGCCTGCCTTTGGCCCAGGGCTCGATCCTGGAGACCAGGGATCGAATCCCACATCGGGCTCCCAGTGCATCGAGCCTGCTTCTCCCTCTGCCTGTGTCTCTGCCTCTCTCTCTGTCTCTCTGTGTGACTATCATAAATAAATAAATAAATAAATAATTTATAAAAAAAAAAATAAAATAAAAACCCAAATATAGAAAAACATACATGAGCAAGTGATAAAATCCATTCCAAAATATTACAAAGAATGGATAAAACAAAGTTGATACCAGATCCTCTTTGATAAATGATTAAGGGTGAAGAATATATTCTCCACACATAAGAATATACAGAGAAAATTATATCCTAGTCCTTAAAGAAATGTCTATTTTCACACAACTCTGCACAACTTTCAAATTAGTAAAAGATAAGTTGTATCCAATGTTGGTGGAGGAAAACTTCTAGATCACTGTTAACTGGCTCCATCATTCTGAAGAACAGTCTGATATGTGAGGGCCAGTCCATGTTTTGTTTTTTAATTAAGTAGGCTCCATGCCCAACATGAGGCTTGAATCCATGACCCAAGATCAAGAGTCACATGCTCTACCAACTGAGCCATCCAGGTGCCCCAATTCATGCTTTAATTCAGAAATTCAACTTCAGGGAGAAAACTAAATTTTCATCATTCCTCACTTTCATAGGCCCCTTCGCCTGCTTTATCTATTTTTTAAAGTTTATTTTTTGGGGGCAACCCTGTTGGGACCCCTCTCACTTCTGAGAGCTTTCTCTGTATCTCTGTTTAATAAACTTCTATCACTTTGCTAAAAAAAAAAAAAAAAAAAAGTTGTTTTTTTTTTTTTTTAGTAATCTCTACACCTATTGTGGGACTCAAACTCACAACCCTGAGATCAAGAGTCTCACGCTCTTCCAATGGAGCTAGCCAGGAGCCCCTTCCCTGTTGTATTTATAGTACTTTACACAGTTTAACTCTACATAGATTACTTTTCAATTTGTTGCAGGCAGGGACCTGCTTTGTCATGGCCATACCCTCAATGCCTACAGCAGCCTGCAATTTAGAAGCTGTACAGTTATTTAAGTGACTGAATTAATGTTCTAAGGAAACAAGTATCTACCCCCACCTCCAAATAGGTTTAATATGTAAAATTTGTAGGGCACCCAGCTGGCTCAGTTGGTAGAGAATGCAACTCTTGATCTCAGGGTTTTGAGTTTGAGCCCCATTTTGGGCATAAAATATTTTTTTTATTTTATAAAAATAAAATCTTTGGCTCAGGGAGTGATCCTGGAGTCCCGGGATGGAGTCCCACATCAGGCTCCCTGCATGGAGAGCCTGCTTCTCCTCCTGCCTGTGTCTCTGCCTCTCTGTGTCTCTCATGAATGTATAAATAAAATCTTTAGGAAAATTAATGAAGGGAGATCCCTGGGTGGCTCAGCTATTTAGAGCCTGTCTTCCACCCAGGGTGTGATCCTGGAGTCCCGGGATCGAGTCCCACATCAAGCTCCCTGCATGGAGCCTGCTTCTCCCTCTGCCTGTGTCTCTGCCTCTCTCTCTGTGTCTCTCGTGAATAAATAAAATCTTAAAAAAAAAAAAAGAAAAGAAAGAAGGAAAAAGAAATGAAATAAAATCTTGAATTTTTTAAATAAAAAAATAAAACGTATAACATAATTTATAACTACCAACTCCAGAACTAAACACTCAAGAGAATAGCTAAGCAAATTAGAATGACACCATAACAGGCTCAATAACCATTAAACATTAAAAACTTAATGAACTCATTGATAAATTAAGTGAAGAAACATAATAGCAACATTCATATCATATAAAAAATGTTTTGTGAGGGGTGCCCGGGTAGCTCAGTCAGTTAAGCATCTGGCTCCAGCTTCGGTCATGATCCCAGGGTCCTGAGATTGAGCCTCGCGTCAGGTTCCCCACTCAGCTTAGAGCCTGCTTCTCCCTCTCTCTCTCTGCTTGTGTTCTGTCAAATAAATAACATAAAATCTTTTTTTTTTTAAGATTTTGTTTATTCATGAGAGACACAGAGAGGGGCAAAGACACAGGCAGAGGGAGAAGCAGGCTCCATGCAGGGAGCCTGATGTGGGACTCAATCCCAGGTCTCCAGGATCACGCCCTGGGCCGAAGGCAGCACCAAACCACTGAGCACCCGGGCGTCCCTCATTAGATCTTAATAACCACTTTCTCAAGTGACTTGTACACATAATTTTCAAATATTCTACCAAGTCTGTGTTATTTTGGGGGAAAAAATGGCTAATGTTACTGGTTATCAGTGGGATAAGTAACACAAGAGTATGACTTGAGGAGTGATGAATTGCTCCCTTTGACAAAAACTAAAAAACATGAAAAGTTAAAATTAAACAATAGATATGAAATTTCCTCAATCCCTGCAGAGCAGTGTTATTTACTTTTAGAATCAGTGTTTTATTTGCATACAACAAAAATGTACCCAGTTTAAGGGAAGGCCCCTGGCGTCCACTCCCGGGTGATCTTGGCTGATGGGCTGTGTGGCATCTCTGGGATGCTAGGGCAAGAGCTCACGTCTGAGGGAGACTGCAAGTTGCCAAGGCCCCATCTTGCCTGGCAGTAAGAACACTCTCTACCCTTCTCACCACAGAAAACCAGGAGGAAGCGAGCCGGTGACCCGAGTGGGGAGCCTCAGAGGCTCAGTCAGCGAGTGAGGACTCCAGAGTCAGGCTCCATTCCCTGCAGCCTGTTCTACAGCCTTGAGACGCTGCCCAGCTTCCTGAAGCTGGTTTTCTGACTGGACTGAAGGGCAAACATCTCTGCAGGATGCAGTAGATGAGACAGTCCACTACGAGGAAGCCATGACATGAGGACTCTCCTCACGGCAGCCATGATTATCCACAGTGTCCCCCCCGGAGGCCTGCCAACTGTCTCCTAGCTGGTACAATCATACCCACTCTGGCTGTGAAAGGCGACAGCAAAAATGGGCGGTTGAGGCTGACGCAGATGTAATGAAAGGCTCCTGGGACCACTTTCACCCTGTTTCAGCCCGTCCCTCTCCACAGAGGCCAGGTTGCAGGTCCTTCTGTGCTTTCTAACAGGGCCCAGGGGAGCGAAGGCATGCCATCACAGCACCCTTCCCCTGCCCCGTGTCACAGTGGGGCTGCCGGTCCAGGCTGAGATGCCACTTCAAAGGTGTACAGGTCCACTGCTGCCAGGTGCTTTATCTTTCACGTCTGAAAACAGTCAAAGGTCACCACGTTTGCTTCTCAATCAGGTCAAAGAATAGCAGGAGACATTCCTTTGGCAAAAAAGGACACACTCTTGTCCTGTATCTTATACTGGTAAGTGAGGCTCCGGTCCCGCTGGGCTGCAGGCTGTGATGGTGTCCTCCAGAGGATCTTCAGCTACGGGGACAAGAGGAATGAAAGGGAAGCAGCCCCCAAGTCCCTGCCTCCTCCACAACCTGCGACCGAGGCCTCCAGAGGTCCCAGTCAGGTGCCATGCAGCCATGGGACCCACTTCTAAAACAAAGCTTCTTACCAGCTAACTACAACTACAGAGATCACTCCCCTTCATTACAGGAGTGACAGCCGCTCATCACAGAAATTGTGAAAGAGAAAGAGAAAGAAAAGTCGCTATCCAGAGAAAAACCACTAAGGTATTCTTATGTGTTCCCTTTTGGTCTTTTTTTCTACGTGTGGTTTTGTTGGCTACACTGATTTTGAAAATCAACTCATTAGAGTCAGTACATTCACTTATTTTATCCTCATCTGTCTCAATGCGAGGCTTGCTAGAATGCTCAGGGGGACTGGCCTCAGAGGCGGCCCAAGCTGCTGGGCAAAACCCTCTCCTCATGCTGTGCACACACACACACCACTGATACGGCTTTCCTGGGCTTGCCCATATTTGTTCTCTGTCCTGTACCTGCCCGTGAATGACTCCGGGCCAAAACTCCCACCCGTGCCTCATGGGTCAAGAGTGGTCAATGTCAAGCTAACCTGGAAGCTGTGACGGAGACTTTGGGGGATGATTCTGAAAGAGAAGGTCCAGAAGGCAGAGAACCATGGCAGCCCTCCGGAGGGCTAGAACCTGACCTCCCTCCCAAGGCAGGACCCTTGGCTTCTGCCTGAGTTCTCAAACATTCTGGTCAGAGGCAACAGAGGGGGTGACAGCCACCCCGGCTATGGGTATGGTTCCCCCCAGATTTGTGTTTTAAAAGAAGCAGCACTAACTTCTTATTCATAGCCTGCTGAGGTCCTGCAGAAGCATCCTTCCATTCTGACAGCAGGGTCCCAGCATTCTGCTCTAGATGGCCGTCTCCTTTTTAGAGAGTTCCGCTTTGGTCGCATATGGGGTCACCATGGAAAACATGTACTAGTACCTGAGGCTAGTGCCCTCGGGAGCAGACTCTGCCTTGCATTCACACAACTCCTGAGGCTGCCCTAGCACCTGAAGGAACACCCCAACCAGACAACCCCTGGGGCCCGACACGATCCCACGTACAGTCTCGGCTCAGGTGCAGGGTGAGGAGCTGATGCCCAGTGAGCCCCTGTGTACCTGTCCATGCACGTCCCTGCAGAAGCCAGTAGCCAGACCCTCGGCCCTCAGAATCAGGTGGCTCTGGTGACTAAGGCCATTCAAAAGGATGTCGTTCTCCTCGTCCTCAGCGTCTCCACTGTCGTGTACCAGGGCCACTATGTTTCCCTACAACAGAGAAATCAAGATGCAAATTCAATCCCCCCAGCAGGGCCATCAAGGGAGCACTGGGCCTGCAGCATCTTCACTCCCCTGCATGTCTTTACCCAGATCAGCCTCCATGCTGCTGCTGCTACTGCTGCAATCATCCCCTCCGTGGGAAGGACCATTGCCTGCGCTCCAGGTCCCTAATTCCAGCCTCACCAGCACATCCAACCTACACTGCCAGCTCAATCCCTCTTAAAACAGGCTTGGCTGCCAAGTCCTGGTCATCTGGTCAGCTGCTCCTGAGTGCTCGGCATGAGCCAGACCCCGCAGCACGGAGAAGAGGGGATTGGTGTGGGCCCCAGAGATAATACGGGACATGAGCTAGGAGAAAGGGGAGGAGGGGCTGAGTGAACACAGGGAAGAGGCATCCCATCTGGCCCAGAGAGAGTCAAGGAGGTGGGCACACATGAGCCAAGTCAACAGGGCCAGTAGGAGTTAACCAACCAGAACTGGAGGGAAGGCCGAGCTGTTGAAGGGGATACCCTGAATAGTAGTAAGTCCTTTCAAAGGAAGACTGTCCAGTTGTTAAAAAGAATGTGGCAGATCTGTGTGTTGTTTCAGGCAAAGGACGCCAAAATATACTATGTTATGAAATGGCATGGCAGTGACATGAAAAATGCAGAGACACAAACATACGTAAAACAGGTTCACAATTGCACAGTCTCTCTCGAAGAATATACATGTTGGGAAAGAGACAATTACTTTTTACTAAAGTCCTCCTCACACTCTTTACTTTTTTAACTATAAGAAACATTTTTACAAAACAAGGGTGGCAGTGGGTCACAAAGCAAGTTAAGCTGCAGGCACTGTGCCTGCCTCAGTGTTGCTGCTCAAGCCATCCACGACTGTTCCATTCCCTCTTCCTCCCATTCTCTCCATGTCACCTGGCTCCCAGCCCTGTGATTATGGCCATACGGCCCTGGAAGTTCTCCTGAACCCAACTGTCAGGCAAGTCTTTGCACACAGGAGGTGCTCAACACGTATCGCTGGGTATATGCACCCCTGGCTGACTCCACTAGTTCATCCCAGCTGCTGCCCAGCACCCCAGCCTGACCACATGGGGCACCACCACATGCTGAAGAGTGGTCACTGTGGGCCAGATGCCGTGCGGATGTGTTGCAAGCTGCATGTCACTAAACTCTTACAGTTGGGTTCCTGTGAGGCAAGCACAACAGCCATTCCAGTTTTATAGGTGGGTCTACCACCATTGTTTAACTCTCTGTTTTAGCAAAATGCCCATTTCTACCACATAATTTGACAATAAAGGTTATGTCCTATACTTGCATCGCATCTCACAATTTTTTTTAAAGCAGTTTAGATCTCAACTGATCAAAACACAGGCAGAGTGATAATGACTTATCCCAAAACATAAGGGAGTGTGTGCAGAGCTAGGACTGGTACAGTACCACACACGACTGGCCACATTCAAGACAGTACTGGTCAACCTTTTAATTTTAAGGGCTTTATTTTCTTGCAGTGGCAAGTAGGGGAGTGGAGAATGGGAGACCAAAAGATTTTGGGCCTACCAGAATAAACCCAAACCCTCACGCAAATAAACAAGAAAGATCACTGCAAGCCAGGGAGGTATGGACCCCTCTGGGCCCATGGAGGCCACAAGCAGGAGCACAGAGAGCAAGCCAATCCATACCTTTTGTTCCCAGCACACAGCAGCTCTGCAGTAGTGAATGAAGTCCAACACAGCCACCGCCCCCATGCCCAGGCTCAGCAGCACACTGAGGTCATCCACCAGCAGCACCGGGCACCTCCACGCAGCCTGCCCATCGTCCGCGGGCTTCAGAGCCTCTCGTACAAACTCATACAGGGGCTGCAGGTTCCCAGCATCAGCCTCCCTGGAACATCAGGCAAGGATCACTCTCTACAAATGTTTATCTGGGACCAAGCAACACCACAGGAAAAGGGCGGGGCAGAGGAGGGGGAAGGCAAAGAACTGGATCACAGTCCTCAGCCAAAGGGGCTCCTGATCTGGTTGGAAAGAAAAAGGAATGCATGCATACATGAGCAAACTGCACTTCAAACACTCCTTGAGGCCTACGAGGTACAAAGCACTGTGCTAGAAACTGGGGGACACAAAAGCAGTCAGTCTCCTGGATTCTCAAGTAACACCACACAGCCCCTCTCTGAGGGAGAGCCTCAGATCTTAGGGCATCAGAAGATTAACCTGGATTGGGCCGGCAGGAGAAGCCTTCCCGGGAGGTCATAATGTGTACAAAAAGCTAAACAGCAATTCATGTGACCTGTCGGTGACAGGCCAAGGTCTGAGGCTGTTTGTGTACCTAACAGATTCTACCTATTTCTGAACAAGATGGCCCAGCTACCTCCGCCTCCCCAGTGACTACCCCTGGCAGTCACTTCCCAGCAAAAGAGGCTCAGAAAGCACCAGAGTACAGGGCCTAGGCACAGGCCCACACTCCACATCCGAGCACCGCTAACAGCGAAGACAACCCCCACAACCTGGGGGTGAGGTATAACCAGGCCCATCATTCAGACAAAGACACCCAGATTCAGAAACAGAATAGGCTGTATGTGAGATCACACAAAGTCAGGGCACAAGACCTTCTGACTCTACATGGCCTTCAGGCTGCTGCATAAGGCTGAGTCTAAGAGAGGGGGCGGTGGGGAGACTTCCCATATGGACTCCTTTGTGGTGGAGGAAGAACAGCAGCCAGGTGAGGAGTATGCACAGAGCTATGTTTGTGGCTGACACTCTTCAAGGACAAGAAACAGGAAAACCAATCTCAAAATAGCAAACCCAGGGGTCAACAAACTTGTTCTTAAAGGGCAACAGTAGTATTTTGGGCTTGTGGGCCATATGGTCTCTGTCTCAACTACCCAACTGTGCTGGTTGGAGTGCTAGAGAGCCAGGGACAATATGCAAATATGTGAATGCAGCTATTCCAATAAAGCTTTATTTACAAAAGCAGGTAGCTGGCCCATGGCCCATACTGTTGAGCCCTGTATCAAGCCAAAAACAGAATAAAAGTGTGTGCTAGGGTTCTGAGCCAGGGTTGAGAAAAACATACTCTTCTGCTATACTCCCAGCAAATAATGTTTTCCGTAGCATCTGGGTCAGCCATATAGAGCCATACAAAGCCAAGGGCTTTCTGATAAAGCTGCAAAACCAGGGAAGTGTCTGCCAACTGAAGCCAGCTGCGTCCCCAACATAGTTGGGGGAAGAATCACATGGCAAGCCCGGTATGGGCCCACCTACCAGGTGTGCACTTCTGAGCAGGGCTGCAGGCTGGCTGACCTGAGGAACTGCAGAGGGTGTGGCTCCGCCTGAGCCCGGAAGAAGACATCCACGGAAGACTTGAGACCCTCCAGGAACACAAGCTGCCCACATTCCCGTGCTGCAGTCAGGCTGACACCCTAAACAACACAGAGGAGAGTGAATCACCATGTCCCGCAGGTGATTGTAGAGGTCAGACTCCAGCTCACAAAACAGGACAGGACACACTCTAAACCCTGCAAATGTGCACCTGTCCACCTTCGGATGGGGCCTATGACTTCTTTCCACTGGATGTTCCCAACTCACAATCCCCACTGTGCTCAGGTGTGCTTTTACATTTGTCACTTGACAAAAAAAAACTGACACCTTGCTCACATGTTCATTTTCATGACCGCTGAATACTTGCTTTTAATTTGCAATAGTGTCATAAAGCTTCCTTTTTAAGTGTACGTATTTAAACGTTATGTACATTTAGACACAGTAATAATGACAACAAAACAGTGGGAGAATGGCCAAGGTCTGAAAAATGCTGTTGCAGAAGGGCCAGATCTTGGCTTTGAATTTCACAAACCCTCTTGTGTGCCCATCAGTGGCACAGGACCTCAGACCTGCTCTGAGGCTTTCAATAACATAACTCATAGATCATAACTGCCAAACTGCCTGTATTACACGAAGATCTTATCACCAGCAAGTTCTTGTTTTCTTTCCTCTTCTCTGAGGAGGCACTCTCATGAGAGCTAAGCAAAATGAATTCTTGATGCACTAGTTCAGAGGTGGGCAAAGTTTCTCTGCAAAGGGCAAGACAGGCTTTGCAGGCCATACAGTCTATGCTGTAATTAACTCAATTCGGTAGAGTGACAGCAGCCGCACACAATTCATACACAAATGGATATGGCTATGGTTTGTCAACCCCTGCTCTAGACTTTTTTTTTAAGTTTTTTTATTTTTAAAATTATCTCTACCTCCAACATAGGGCTCGGGCTCAAACTCATGACCCCAAGATTAAGAATCACATGCTCTTTGGACTGAGCCAGCCAGGTGCCCCTAGACTAGAACTTAATATGGCTCTTCATGAACTACCCGATTAAGAAGCTCTTGTGTCACTCGATTAAAAAGGCAGATCCCTGAGTGCCACTCTACAACTCCAGAACCAGAAGCTTTGCAGGCAGGGCCCAGGAATCTGCATTTCGACAAAGATGGATACAATTTAAATATGCAACCCAGGGCAGCCCGGGTGGCTCAGCGGTTTAGTGCCACCTTCAGCCCAGGGCCTGATCCTGGAGACCCAGGATTGAGTCCCACGTCGGGCTCCCTGCCTAAAGCCTGATTCTTCCTCTGCCAGTGTCTCTGCCTCTCTCTCTCTCTCTCTCATGAATAAATAAAATCTTTAAAAAAAAAAAAAATATATATATATATATATATGCAACCCAGCTGCTCAATCTGTGCAAAAACAGACTAGGCTCCTCATGCCCCTAAACCAAGTTTCAATTGCTCATTCACACTCCAGTGTCCTCCACTATGCAGCACCATTAGCTCCACAGCCACCCCTGGTAGCCAGAAAGACTCCTATTTATTACCTTTGCTCTTGCTCGTTACCATGCTACTAATGGCAGTTCAATAACACACCAAGAGTGTGGAGGCTCACACTCTAGCCCTTCACCTGCCCAGTACTGTGCACGCCATTCCTGCTGTGTTGATAATAATGATTCAAAGGTGAGAGGAAAGTAGCCAATCTGGACATGAGTGTACACAGATTTCTCATCTAGAAACACAGATACCAGAGTCACAGAGACACACTTCACAGACGTGGAATGTAATGTGTGTTCTTGACATGACCGTTCTCCCTGAGCTCAAGCTCTGACCTCTAACACAGGAATTTCCTCCTTTTTTGCAAAGGATGGGAAAGGGTCTACCCTCCTCTCATCCTCTCATGTGTTTCTCCCCATCAGAGTGACATTAGGCAAAGACATGGCCCAGTAAGAACACTGGCATTTCAATGATCACTCCTAATGTGTGGCCTGTTTCTTTCCCTAAGGCTGGCCTATTAAAAACAAAACAAGACCAAAAAACAAAAACAAAAACAAAAACAAAAAACAAAACAGTAAGTCCCCCTGGTCATAGGTCATGGGTGATGGCCTAGGCTAAGCCGGAAGGTTCAACACCCTCTTGGCCATCTTATTCTTGCCCACCTGCATCTGACAAGATGAAGGGCAGACAAATATGAAGTAAGGAACAAGTGACAAAAGCAGCTCCCCCCACATTTGGGTCCTAAGCCCTAAACTTAGGGAGACAGTAGGAGGCATTCAACTTGGTGGAAGACCAAGCTGTGATCTCCAACTCAGGAGGACTGAGATTAAAGCGCACACTGAGGAGAAAATCTTAACTGGTCCAGAGTCAGTACAGCTGCATTTGATTAATTAACAACAGATCTGGTTCTATAAATTCTAAATTAATAAAACAGGTAGACATGCTGCCTTAGCCCTTCAGATAAGGGGTTCAGCACTCCTCAGTGGCTCTCCTGCTAAGTTCTCTACAATCCAAACACAGGAGCCTAGCCTTGGCCCCACTCACACCTGCATGACCCACATACTCAGAGACTGCACTGAGGAGGTCTTCAATATTTACCAACTTCTGTCCCACGATATTGTAGTGACTGAAGGACTGGATGAGTGCCACAAAACAGACTTTACAGTTAGCTAGAAAACAAAACAGATTTTTGATGAAGTCTTTGCTTATAATCAGTCTCATAGAATCCATACTTCTGGAAACAAAAGCATTGAGGCAGGTCTAGACAGATGCAAGGGGCCTTGCAACCTGACACAACCAATCTGATCTTAAGATGCACTTTTTTCTTATATAATAATTATATCTTATTTCATTGACCCTAAGATGTACTTCTGTTACGTGTATTGCTAGATATTGTACTTTGTTCTACTGTAAATAAATTGTGGTTTTTTAAAAGTACTTTTTGGGCAGCCCCGGTGGCACAGCGGTTTAGTGCCGCCTGCAGCCCGGGGCGTGATCCTGGAGACCCTGGATCGAGTCCCGCGTCGGGCTCTCTGCATGGAGCCTGCTTCTCCCTCTGCCTGTGTCTCTGCCTCTCTCTCTCTCTCTCTCTCTGTGTGTGTCTCTATGAATAAATAAATAAAATCTTTAAAAAAATAAAAAATAGGGATCCCTGGGTGGCGCAGCGGTTTGGCGCCTGCCTTTGGCCCAGGGCGCGATCCTGGAGACCCGGGATCGAATCCCACATCGGGCTCCCGGTGCATGGCGCCTGCTTCTCCCTCTGCCTGTGTCTCTGCCTCTCTCTCTCTCTCTCTCTCTCTGACTATCATAAATAAATAAATAATTAAAAAAAAGAAATAAAAAAATAAAAATATTTTTCTGTTTGGTGTTGATGTACTAAAATACAGTTGATTTGTTTTTATTTTTATTTTTTATTTATTTATGATAGTCACAGAGGGAGAGAGAGAGAGGCAGAGACACAGGCAGAGGGAGAAGCAGGCTCCATGCACCGGGAGCCCGACGTGGGATTCGATCCCGGGTCTCCGGGATCGCGCCCTGGGCCAAAGGCAGGCGCCAAACCGCTGCGCCACCCAGGGATCCCCAGCTGATTTTTTTTAAAACTGGTCTTACATCCAAAAAGTTATGAGAGGAGCAGAAAGAAGTTCTAGCTACCTTACTGAACATAATTATTCTAACAATTTATCCACAGATTCTCTTGCTCTTTCAGTGCTGACAATAACATCACCTGGAAAAGAAAACTTTCAGAGCTATGGATTTTTATGACTAAGAGTGCCAACTCTACCCTCTATCCTGACCTGGCTCAGTAGGGGCTCAAGGAGAATCAGTTGATAAAGGAGTCTTTTTTTCATTTCGGCTGTTTTCTTCTTATTATCTACTTCCATATATAAATTACAGTGGCTCTTCAGTTTTCCTTTTCCTATGTTCTTTAGAAACCATCTCAAGATAAACAAGGAATGAGGAGCAACTAAATCAGGAGGCCACATAAGAGTTTCAGTGAGACAGTGTCCACACACTGGTAGAGAAGGGAAACTAGGACATGGATACAGAGAGTATATATCACCCTTTGGGAGGGATGGGCAGGGAACAAGACAGTCAAGTAACCTGTTACCCAAACATCAAACCCCTGGTTGGTTAATACTATTCCCATTGCAGGGGATCCCTGGGTGGCTCAGTGGTTTAGCGCCTTCGGCCCGGGGCCTGATCCTGGAGTCCCGCATCGGGCTCCCTGCATGGAACCTGCTTCTCCCTCTGCCTGCGTCTCTGCCTCTCTCTCTGTCTCTCATAAATAAATAAATAAAATCTTTTTAAAAAAATACTATTCCCATTGCCTTTTGCCTTAGGTTTCTTTTTACAGCATCAATGAGTCTTATACCTTTGAGGTAGAAGGAGAGAAAGTGGTGCACAAGGAAGCTGCCATCTGTCTTAGCATCACAGAGTAGAGTCAGTTTCCCCTACAAGAACACAAAAAGGTGAATTAGACTCCCTGGAAAGGGGTCAGTATCTACACACACAGACACAGACACACGGATTACCAAAAAGAAGAAAATAAGTCAAAACTCTGGAAAAAACAACAATTAAAGTGATTGCTATTAAGTCACTTACAAGCAGCAAGCCTATCTCAGCTTCCAGTTTCCCAAGACAAAGAATAAAATGCCTCTCTTCCTCATTCACTTTGGTAACTCAGGGATAAGTCTTGGGAGAACTAGATCCTGAACAAAAGAAGTTTTTACCATCAGAATCCAACAAAAATCACAGTCTGCCAAGATTGGAATAGACCTTCAAAAAAACTAATCTGATCCAACTTCTTTCCTATTTCTAATTCTGATACCAACTCTGTCTAACAGAGTGGGGGAGAAGGGAGTGGCAGTAGTTGACAGAGACCTCCAGTGACAAGGTTCTCACCCCAATGGCCCTGGACACTGCTTCAGGCAGAGCTCTAATCATGCAAAGTCCTGGAAAGACCCCTAGAGATGGTCTCCACAGTGGCTGGCTGCCCTGCTCTTGCCATCTCCAGTTCCTTGGCAGTGATAGGGGAGGTCGGGATCAAGTGGTACCAGATAACACTTCCATGTTCTGACTTTTTTTCACTTCTAGAACATGAAAGATTGCACTATCAGAACTTGAGGGTCATCTCCAGTGCCGTCATTTCCTTGTGCCCACTCTGATCCTCCATTACTTCACTACTCTGGCCCTGGGGTGAGCACTTTGGAGGTGCCAGTACTAACTAGCAAGGTCGCCAGTGCCACCTGCTGGCTTGGGGAACTGAAATCCACAGGGTCTATTAAAAACTGTAATTTGCCTATTAAAGAGGCCTGACTGGGGGCAGCCCGGTGGCTCAGATGTTTAGCACTGCCTTCAGCCCAGGGTGTGATCCTGGAGACCCGGGATCAAGTCCCATGTCAGGCTCCCTGCATGGAGCCTGCTTCTCCCTCTGCCTGTGTCTGCCTCTGTGCATGTGTGTCTCACGAATAAATACATAAAATCTTAAAAAAAAAAAAAAAAAAAAAAAGGCCTGACTGGTACACGTGGTGTCTTAGCTGCCTGGAGGAGCTTGCCATTTCCTTAGGAAGACAAAGGTTATAAAATAAACCAGGTTAAGTTCCTGGGAGAAGTAACACCCCAGGTTTAAAATGTGAAAAATCTCGGGATGCCCCGGACTGCGGGAAGGAGGGTGGAGAAAACAAAGTGGCGAAGCTGTTGTGCCCAAGGCCGACCTGATCCAAGCCGACGTTGACCGAGAGCAATTTGGAAGAGCACCATTCAAGACCACGAAGAGGAAGAGGAGGAAGAGTGTTCACTCCCGACCCTCAGGCAACCTGCTCTGGGCGCCGGGACGCCCACCCCAGGGAGGACGCACAGGGCACCCCAGTACACGTCTGGGAACGTAAGCCAATGCACAGTCGACCGTTTCCCGGGCACTTTCGAGAGTATGCGGGGCCAGCGCCGAGCCCAGTTCCCGGGGCGGCCCTTCCCGGGACTACAATTCCCAGGCGCCCCCCGTGCCCACCGACGTCGCGTCTTTCCCACGGTACACATGTGCTTCATCCGGGGATGTGGTCTTCCGCCACGCTCCGGGACCCGCCCCCCCCTTCCCACCGCGCGACGTCCTACCTGCTCCGCCCTGTCAGGGGTGGTGTCGAGAAGGTTATTGAGTTCCGGGAACATTCCGGGCTGCGGGCACTAGCGTCCCGAAGCGGGAGCCGGGTCGGCGGCGGGGACCACGGAGATCGAGGAGCTACACGCCACTCGAGCCCGCGCGGGGGAAGCGCGCACGCGCAACGCCACTTCCAGGCGCCGCCGCAGCCAATCAGGAGCGAGAGCGCGCATCCGGCGGGCGTGGTAGCGGGCGCTGGTCCTGCAGCGCCCTCTTCCGGGGTCCGCCGCGCGGGAGGCCTCGCGGTGGCCCTCAAAGCCCCGCAGGGCAGGTCTCCTCCGCGATCTCTTGGCCTTGTCCTCTCCGCGGCCCCGGGCCTCCACACGTGCCTGTCGAGCTCCTACTGTGTGTCCCCCACCGCTCGGAGCTCGGGCTGCTTTGCGAGCGAGATGGGTGAGGACGCCCGCCCTTGCTCGCCCTTGCTCGCCAAGCAGAAAACGAACGCAATATGCACGGAATTGCGTATAGAAAAGTTCTTGGAAAAAAGCAAAAGCAGGATAAGGGAGTAACGGTGGGGTAGGGGTAGGTTCGGAATTAAAGAGGTTGTCGGGGTAGGAACACTATGAAAATGTGATTGGAACACACCTGGCGTGCCCCTACTCAGGACTTGTGCACCAACCATGCCTCCTTCCTAGAATTCGGTTTTCCCAAATACTCAGAAGATTTTTTAAAATCTCCCACTTTTTTTTGAGATCTTCAGATGTCGCTAACCAAGGCCTTTCTGTACCTTCCTGTTTAAATTACAACTGCCTGGGGATCCCTGGGTGGCCCAGTGGTTGAGCGCCTGCCTTCAGCCCAGGCCCTGATCCTGGAGTCCCGGGATCGAGTCCCACGTCGGGCTCCCTGCATGGAGCCTGCTTCTCCCTCTGCCTCTCTCTCTCTCTCTCTCCCTGTGTCTCTCATGAATGAATAAATAAATTTTAAAATATATAAAAAAATAATAAATTGCAACTGCCTTTTCTCCAACACAGGCTTTTCCCCTACTTTTCTTTTTCCATAACATTTATATCTAGCTCACTATATATAGTTCTGTTGTAGCCCAATGAGCCTCAGAGCACCGGAGAGAAGCCTGTAATTCAACAAAATAGAGTTTACTTACTCAATGGAATGAGGGAGGTAGCATACCAATAGAGTCCGGGGGGCCTGTCACCAAACAAAGGAAAGGGAGTTATTTTAGGATTTGGCAAAGGATGGCTTTCAGGTAAAATTTACATGAAGTAGCGTTTTGTTGATAGGCTGGAAACAGCACAGCTGTGTGTCAGGAGTCACTATCTGGCCCGGACTGTAAAATGGACCAAGGTTTCCAGTGCATATCGCGAGGTTAAGATAGATGTGGAATGGGGAGGTGGTTTGAGGATGGGTAAAATAGATAAAGGTAAGAGTACACTTTTTTTTCCGCATTAAAACACTCATAATTGAAATATTTTTAATTTTATGTACGATGAGTTGGGGTCAAGGTAGGTATCTTGGATGACCCAGTCAAGGAAGTTCACTTAATCAAACTTAATGAAACCTATATCCTTCGCATATTGATGGAACACTGACAGCAAAAATTGAGGCTGTATTTCTGGATCAGACCTTACTGGTTTGAGCAAGCAAGAACCCTGGCCGTCTATCCTCAGGTGGCTCCAGTAGAGCTGCTACTGACCCAGGTTGCTCTCTCGGATGCAACAAGGCAAAAAGAGGAGCACCCTGATGAGCACTGAGAAATGTATGGAATTGTTGAATCATTATATTGTACACCTGAAACTATTATAATATTCTAGGTTTATGCTTCAATAAAAATAAATTTTTTAAAAGATTTTATTTATTCATGAGAGAGGCACAGAGAGAGGCAGAGATATAGGCAGAGGGATAAGCAGGCTCTTTAAGGGGAGCCTGATGTGGGACTCGATGCCAGGACCTCAGGAAAACGACCTGAGCCAAAGGCAGACATTCAACCACTGAGCCACTCAGGTACCCCCAAAAAAGTGTGTGTATGTGTTTTTTAGGATACATATTAAGTAGTCATTCACTTACTTGAAAATCCCCACCTGGGCTGGAAATCGAGGCTGCTTCTCTGTGTCAAAATTACTTAGATCCTCCAGCCAAGAATGGGATGTTACACGCTTACTGATATGCAAGAAAGAGAAAAGCAGCCCCTGGCATCCAGGAGCTGGCCTGTCACAACTAGTTCTTGGTGTTGTCCTGTTGAGCATAAACAATTTCACAAAACATCAATATCAAACTGATTATGATGGATCAGGACAAAACAAGTCCACTCCATAGTTACGCTAAACAAGAAACAGGAATATTGTCCAAGCCAGACTACCACATATCCCCTCTCCCAGCTAATGGACTACTGCTTCTTTACCATCACAGCTTTAGCCTCACTCTTGTCAGCCCTCCCTGTAGAGGAAGTTTATTAAGATACTTGATCATGGAATTAACCCTTCTTTCTGACAGCATCCAATCCCAAACCCTCCTCCCAATCACCTAACAAGCCCAAATCCTATAATGATGTTCTAATACTCTTTAAAAAAATTTTTCTGGGCAGCCCAGGTGGCTCAAAGGTTTAGCGCCACCTTCAGCCCAGGGCCTGATCCTGGAGACTCAGGATCCAGTCCCACATCAGGCTCCCTGCATGGAGCCTGCTTCTCCCTCTGCCTGTGTCTCTGCCTCTCTCTCTCTCTCTCTCTCTCTCTCTCTCTCTCTCTCTGTCTCTCATGAATAAATAAAAACTTAAAAATTTTTTTAAGTTTTTATTTATTTATTTGAGGGAGAAAGAGAGAGTGTGTGCACAAGTGGGTGTGGGGGGGATGCAGAGAGAAGAAGCAGACTCCCTGCTGAACAGGGAACCAGATTCTGGTCTTAATTCCAGGATGCTGGGTCATGACCTGAGCTGAAGGCAGATGCTAAACTGACTGAGCCACCCAGGGGTCCCTGTTCTAACACTGTTAATGATACATGCCATGATTTCCTATGGTGTGCATTCTCTATCAGAGCAATGAATAATAAACCCTATTTTTCAATAATAGATAAATTCCTGGTGGTTGTTGCCTGGAAAGAATTGACAGACAGGATTTCAAACAGTTTCAATCTCAGAAACTTTAGAAAACAGTTTCTTGGTAAGAAAGCAGGAATCACTCAAAGAAATGGATTACCGTCAGAGTATAGCTGCAGTGTGTCCTTGAGAGAAATACTGTTTCAGCTGGCTTTATCTGTGTTGATGAACAGCCAGACAACTTTTTACAATCTGAGCTAATTGTTCCTTTCTTGATGTCCTTATTTGAATCTTCACACTAGAAGGCAGAAGAGCTGGGGGTTTTGTCTCCCTTATTCATTCTCATTTCTCAGTGCTTGCTATGTGCTCATTTTAAAGGAATAGATGTTTGTATTTTTCTATAATGGTGGGCTGTCTTTTCATTTACTTGATGGTGTCCTTTGAAGCAAAGAAGTTTTTAGCTTCAGTGAAATCCAATTTATCTTCTTTCCTTGTTTGCTTGGGCTTTTGGTGTCATTTAAGAATCCATTGCAACATCCAACGTCATGAATATTTACCCTTGTGTTGTCTTCTAAGAATTTTATAGGTTTAGCTCTTGCAGTTAGGTCATTGATCTGTTTTGAGTTCATTTTTGTACATGGTGTGAGGTAAGGATCCCTTCAGCTTGTATCCTGGTAGGGCCTGTGTTGAATCTGTAGATCAATTTGAAGAGTATTGCCATCTTAACAATCTTAGGTTTTCCAGTTCGTGTACATTGGATAATATTTTTACATCTACTTGGATCTTTAATTTCCTTCAACAATGTTATTTAGCTTTTGGAATGTAAGTTTTGCACTTTGGTTAGATTTACTCCCATGTCTTTTTTTCTTTGTTGTGCTATAGTGAATGGAATTTTTTCTTCTATCAGCTTTCATGATGTTCATTGCAAATGTGTAAAAACTACAAATGGGGCACCTGGGTGGCTCAGTTGGTTGGGCTTCTGCATTTAGTTCGGGTCATGAGTCCAGAGTCCTGGGATCAAGCCCCATGTTGGGCTCCTTGCTCAGTGGGGAGCCTGCTTCTCCTTCTCCCTCTGCCACTCCCCCTTGCTTGTTCTCACTTTCTCTCTCTCTGTGTCAAATAAATAGATAAAATCTTTTTAAAAATGCAATTAATTACACATATTCAGTTGGTATAATGCAACCTTGCTGAACTTTCTATTCTAGGGTTTTTTTTTTAGTGGGTTCTTTTGGATTTTCTGTATATAAGATCTTGTCCTCTACAGATATAGTTTTACTTCATCCTTTCTGATCTTGAGGCCTCTTATTTGATTTTCTTGCCTAAATGCCCTAGATAGAACCTCCAGTATGATGTAGAATAGGAGAGGTGAGGGCAGACATCCTTGTTTTGTTCCTTCTCTGAGTAAGAAAGCATCCAATCTTTCACCTTGGAGTATGATGTTAACCTGGGTTTTTCCATGGATGCCCTATATCAGGTTGAGAAAGTTCCTTTCTATTCCCAGCATAGTCCTTTTATTCTTTGTGATGCTTCTTTCCCCAGTCCTAGGCAGTTCCTCACCTGCTTCAGAATACTTGAGTGTGACCCTCTGTAGATCTTGAGGATCTTTCTCTGTGCAACTCTCTCATTGCTGGTACTCTGTCCTGTCTATGAACTCAGGCAGCCTCAGTCTCCCCAGGCTCTTAACTCCATTTTTTCAACTCAGAGAGTATTCATCTTAGTTCCTCCTCCCGGTCTGAAAACAAGGCAGTCAGCTAGGAAAATCACAGGGCTCACCTTGTTCTTTGCCCATTTCTCGAAGATCACTGTCCTTTGTTGTCTGATGTCCAATGTCTTTCATGTTGTTGTTGCATATATTTGTATACCTCATCTTTTCCTTTTTGTGGGTTTTTTTTTTAAAGATTTTATTTATCTATTCATGAGAGACACACAGAGAGAGTGACAGGCAGAGACACAGGCAGAAGGAGAAGCGGGCTCCATGCAAGGAGCCTCACGTGGGACTCGATTCTAGGTCTCCAGGATCCCCCGGGCTGCCCTGTTCTGGGTTTTTTTTTTTTTTTTAGGCAAGAAAATAAATCTAGTCCTTTCTACTCCACTTTGGATAAAAGTAGAAGTCTGTGAATTATCT